GGGGGGGCTGCTCCCAGGTGCTCCGTCCCTGCCTCCCCCAGCCGGGGGCGCTGCAGGGTGCTGACCCCCCCGCTGTGTGTCTCCCAGGAGCTGGTACATGAACGGCAACGTGCTAATTATCATCGTCAGCGTCTGCGTCATCCTGCCCCTGGCGCTCATGAAACATCTCGGTGAGTGTGGGGTTGGGTGTGTGTATGTGTGTGTGTGGGTGGGGGGCTGGCGCCCCCTGCTGGTAAGGATCAGCCCTGCGTGTCTCACCCTCTCTCCCCTCCCCCACAGGCTATCTGGGGTACACCAGCGGGCTCTCGCTGACCTGCATGGTCTTCTTCCTCATCTCGGTGAGTCCGCCCTGCCCCCCAACCCACTGTCCCTCCCCCACCTGCCCGCCAGGGAGAGAACCCAGGAGTCCTGGCTCCTAGCACCCCCCCACAACCACTAGATCCCACTCCCCTCCCAAAGCTGGGGAGAGAACCCAGGTGTCCTGGCTCCCAGCCCCCCGCTGCTCTAACCACCAGCCCCCACTCCCCTCCCAGAGCCTGGGAGAGAACCCAGGCGTCCTGGCTCCCAGCCCTCCCTGCTCTAACCACCAGACTCCACTCCCCTCCCAGAGCCGGGGAGAGAACCCAGGCATCCTGGCTCCCAGCTCCCTAGCTGGCTGGCTGGTGGGAGGGTAACCCCTGCTGAGGAAGGGGTGTCTCTCACCGCCCCCCCCCTCCGTGGCTCCCCCCAGGTGATCTACAAGAAGTTCCAGATCTCCTGCCCGCTGAACGGGACCGAGCCCGCAACCCCCCTCGTCTACTACAATGGGCACAACGCCAGCGCCGCCGGCACCACTGGGGACGAGTGCACGCCCCAGACCTTCACCGTCAACTCCCAGGTGAGAGCGGGGGTGGGGGCCAGTGGTTAGAGCAGGGGGGCTGGGAGCCAGGACGCCTGGGTTCTCTCCCCAGCTCTGGGAGGGGAGTAGGGGCTGGTGGGTTAGAGCAGGGGGTGGGGGGGGCTGGGAGCCAGGACTCCTGGGTTCTCTCCTGGCTCTAGCACAATCAGCCCTTCCCTTCCCCCTGCAGACAGCGTACACCATCCCCATCTTGGCTTTCGCATTCGTCTGTCACCCGGAGGTGCTGCCCATCTACACAGAGCTGCGCAGGTGAGGGGCGGGGAGGGGGAAGGGCCGGGTGGGTTCAGGGAGATCGAGTCAGTGGGAAAGGAGTGGGGTCCAGTAGGGGGGCTGGGAGCCCAGATTCCTGGGTTTTCTCCCTGGCTGTGGGAGGGGAGTGGGCTCCAGTAGGGGGGGCTGGGAGCCCGGACTCCTGGGTTCTCCCTGCCAGCCCCAGGGCAGGGCGGCGTTTGACCCCTCTGTCCCCCGCCAGAGCCTCGAAGCGGCGCATGCAGAGTGTGGCGAACGTCTCCATCCTGGCCATGTTCATCATGTACCTGCTGACGGCCATCTTCGGCTACCTCACCTTCTACGGTAAGGCAGTGCAGGGCTGGACCCCTCCAGCAGGAGGCTCAGGGTCCCCTTCCCAGGGCTTGGCTCCCCTCTCGCCCTCCGCACTGACCCCATCAGCGCCCCCAGCACCCCCTCTGACCAGCCCCCCCCCCGCAACCCCACCGCTACAGCTGCGCGGGGCCCAGCTGGGCTCCCGGCTAACGGCCGTCCTTCCGGCCCTTCCGTGTCCCGCAGGGAACGTCGAACCGGAAATGCTGCACACGTACAGCGAGGTGGATCCCCTGGACCGGCTCATCCTCTGCGTCCGCCTGGCCGTGTTGATGGCCGTCACACTGACAGTGCCCGTGGTGCTCTTCCCGGTATGTGTCCCGGCTGCTCTGCCCCAGAGGCAGCTGCATCTCGGCGCTGGGCGAGCCACCGCCGTATCCCTTACTTCTTTCCTTGTCTCCTCCCAGATCCGCAGAGCCATCCAGCAGCTACTCTTCCACGGGAAGGATTTCAGCTGGGTTCGGCATGTGAGCATCGCTATCTGCCTTCTGTTCTTGGTCAATCTCCTGGTCATCTTTGTCCCTAACATCCGGGATATCTTTGGAGTCATTGGTAAGTCCCTGGCTTCAAATGGGCTGGGGGTTGGCCCTCCAAGGCGAACTGTCTCCATGCAGCATTATATGCGGCTGTTCTCCAGTTGCCCCGCCCCAGAGGTGGCTGCGTTTCGGCACCAGGCAAGCCGTCCCCGTGTGGCGTTATGTGTGGCTGCTCCTCAGGTGCCTCACCCCACTCCAGAGGTAGTTGCATCTTTGACCTCTCTCCTCTCTCTTCCCAGGCGCCACCTCCGCCCCCAGTCTCATTTTTATCCTCCCCAGCATCTTCTACCTCCGCATCGTTCCCAATGAAAAAGAACCGCTGAGATCCAGGCCAAAAATCCAGGTACCCACCGCTGGGGGGGCGCAGTGCCCTGGGGAACGGGGGGCTCGGTGGGGGGGCACCGTTCTGTGGTGAGCAGGGGGCTCGGTGGGGGGTGCCATGCTGTGGGGAGTGGGGGGCTCGTTAGGGGGGTGCCATGCTGTGGGGTGGGGGCAGGGAGCTCAGCGGGGGGTTCTGTGCTGTACTTTGGGGCTCACCTTGTCCTCCCCCTCCCGCCCCCCAGGCCGCCTGTTTCGCTGCCCTCGGCTTCATTTTCATGGTGATGAGTCTCGGCTTCATCGTGGCTGACTGGGTGACGACTGGACGGAGCAGCGGCGGGGGGCACTGACCCGCCCCCCCGCCGACCCCCGGCACAGACACATGGACCCCACTGGGCCGGCTCGGGGGGCCCAGCCATTGCTGGGGCAAGGGCACCGCCACCTCCCATTGGCCCTTGCTCTGCTGCAGCCGTGGCAACACTGAGACCAGCGCTAGGGCCTGCCCATTGGCCAACTGTTACCATGGCAACACTACAGACCCTGGCAGCGACTGGTGTCCATGGGAACGGTGCCAAGGCCCTTCCATCAACTGTTACCGTGGCAATGCTACAGCGACTGGTTTCCATGGAAATGGTGTGAAGGCCCTTCCATCGGCCACCTGTTACCACGGCAATGCTACAGCTCCTGGCAGCGACTGGTGTCCATGGGAACGGTACCAAGGTCCTTCCATCGGTCGACTGTTACCGTGGCAATGCTACAGCTCCTGGCAGTGACTGGTTTCCATGGGAATGGCGCTAAGGCCCTCCTATGTGTGCCTTGTAGTCATGGCAGCCTCCCATTTCCATGGGACAAAGCTCCTGATTGGGCCATCGGTGCCATGGCAACGGCAGGTTCCCCACGACTACTGAGTCCCCTGACTACAGCGCAACTGGGTTCTCCTTAGCTCCCTGTCGCCGTGGCAACATGGCAGGTCCCCAGGGGAACAACACCAGGCCTTTGTTGCTGTGACAACGCTTTGGCCACTGCTGGAGTGGGTGGGTGGGGGGGTCCCATAGCAACAGTTCCCTCCAGACAATGCCTCCCACCTCTTTGGTTCCCATGGAGACAGGAACACCCCCTCTCCCCTGCTTGTACTCATTCCCTGGCATCAGTTGAAGAGGGACTGTGAATCCGACTGTGCCAGGGCGGGGGCCAGGTGGATCCATGGCACTCTTATTTATTGCTCTTATTTAATTCGGAGCCAGCAGCCAGACCAAAGAGCGATGCTGGGCTCACTGCTGGGGCCAGGATCGTGACACCCCCCCAGGACTCCTGGGTCCCATCCCCAGCGACGGGGCCATGGGCTGTCCACTTTTTTGTGCCTCAGTTTCCCCACTGGGAGATAGGGGCGTGTTCCCATCCTGCTGAGGATTAACCCTCGAGTGTCTGAATTCTCCGGGGCCGGAGGAGACGCTGTTACTGTTACAGTAATGGGGGAGGCAGGGGGTGAGCGTCCCGTGGAGCCTCAGGACGCCTGGGTTCTTCCCGGGACGCCTGGCTTCCTGAGCGGGGCTGGGGGGGAGGCGAAGCCGTGTGCCTACAGGCCTGTTTGCCGCCTGGGACAGGCCCCAACCATGGTGCAGAATTCGCCCCACGTCAGCACCTTTCCCCCACCACACGGGGGCACCGTTGGTTGAGCCAGTTGAATGCCCCCCTTTCATCTGGGTGTCTGGGCGGGCGTTTATTGAACCCTGGGTCTCGGTTCTCTTTTCAAACTACCTCACCACCCAGAGACAGCCGAGGGTCACGAATGCTGCTCGCCCCAGCCCCTTCAGAGAGCAAGAGGTTAAGGACAGGGCTGTCGGGGGGCCACCTCCCTGAGCGCGGGGTGGGAGGCAATCCGGGTACAGGTGCCTCCTCCTAGCCAGAGAACGCTCCATCCGCCCTGTTGAGAAATCCTGGAGCCTCTGCTTCCTCCTCCAGAAACGTCTAGATCTTGTCCCAATGGCTCCTTCTCCCCTCCTGAAAAATCCTCGCGCCTACGTGTTTTCATCCAGAAACTACTAGTTCCCACTCTGGCGCCTCCGTCTCTCCTCTAGAGAAATCCCAGCGCCGCCATTTCCTCCTCCAGAGATCTCTAGATCTTGCCCCGACGCCACCATCTCCCTTCTAGGAGGATCCTTATGCCTACATATTTTCCTCCAGAAACCTCTAGATCCCACCCTGATGGCTCCATTTCCCTATCTATCTCAGAGAGCTGGAAGGGACCTTGCAAGGTCATCAAATCCAGTCCCCTGCCTTCGCAGCAGGACCAAGTATCGTCCCTGACAGATTTTGCCCCAGATCCCTAAATGGCCCACTCAAGGATTGAACTCACAACGCTGGGTTTAGCAGGCCAATGCTCAAACCACTGAGCTATCCCTGCCTAGAAAAATCCCAGCGCGCCCCCAGCCGCATTGGCACAGCTCCCCCACCACTGCGGCCTTAGCACTCAATGCCTCTTCAGCCAGTGCCTTAAACTCTGCCCCCACCCCCCCGGTGCAGTCCCCCGGCTTCACAGTAGCCGTCTCCTGCCCCCCAAATTCAACCGCAACCCTGGTGGTTCTGCTCCCCCCTGCCCCGACACAGCAGTTATATTGGCAGAAAGGGGCCCTATAGAGAATCAGGACTCCTGGGTTCTCTCCCCGGCTCTGGGAGGGCAGTGGGGTCTAGTGGTTAGAGCTGGGAGCCAGGACTCCTGGGTTCTCTCCCTGGCTCTGGGAGGGGAGTGGGGCCCAGTGGTTAGAGCTGGGAGCCAGGACTCCTGGGTTCTACCACCAGTGCTCCCATCTTCGCCCTCTCCAGGAACTGGTTTCTCCCTTTCTACTGGCGTAATTTGGGTTTTCATTTTGGAAGGAAGCATTTGAGCAAGAAACAAACATTTTCAGGCTTCCCTCCCCCCCCTGCCCAAAATACGAAACCCTCAAACGGGAAATTCTCCCTGTTTCAAACAAAAATCTGCTCCCCCCCCCGGCCCCATGTTCTGATTTCTTCGGAAAAGTGTGGGGGGGGAGGCCCCCCAAATGACTTTTGTTTTGCCAGTGGGGGAAATTGGCTGCCATGATAAACAAATCCAGGCTCGGCCCAACTAAAGCTACCGTGCCGCAACAGGTCTGTCAGAATCCTCCGGTTCCGGGTCTGGCCCGGAGCCGAAGAAAACAATGACGTTTTGCGAGCCACCCGGGGAACCCCCCCCTCCCAAAATTGGGCGATCACGCAGCCGACTCAGAGCAAGTGATCTCTTTTCTTGGGCCGACAGCTGGGGAAAGAGACACGTTTCCGAACTTCTGCAGAGCTCATGTCCTTCCCCTGGCAGTCGGGCTGGTAAAAGAGACGTGTCCTGTCCAGCCAACGCTGCCAACCCCCGCTTGTGTCGTCCCCCCAAATGTCCTTTCCCGGAAGGAGAAACAAGAAAAAGACCATTTTGGAAAGCGGGATTTTTGCCCTCATGGGAGAGTCTGAAAACTCGGCTTTCCCCCTTACTAACTCTCAGGACGTTTGCCAAACCGTCGCGTTTCCTTTTTGGGGCCTGGCGTTGCCTGGGACTCGGGGACGCTGGTAGAAGGGTCCTGGGTTCAGATTCTGAGGTGGGTGGGTTCCAGGCCTGGTTAATTCAGGGCTGGCCTGGATGGAATAATCACACCGGGGACGGCTCCCCGAACTGAAAACCCTCGTCCCGCCAGCCCCTAAAGTCAGCGTCTTGGTCCATTGATCCTGCCTGGATTCACGTGACTCCAGACGCACGAGGCTTTACTGGGGGGGGGGAGCGGGGATAAAAGGGCCCCTCGAAGCACTATTTCGGTCAGCACGTCCAGCCCAATCCTGCGTCGTCCCCAGTGCTACGGACAAAGCCAAAAGACCCCCCCCCCCATTGCAGCAGGGGTTCCCCCCCATGGCTGGGGGGAGCGATGCTGTGGGGAGGGGCAGCGCAAGGTGAAAACGATGCATGGAGCCGGTGGCTTTTGTACGGTCGCTCTGGGTTTCAATAAATAGCAACCGGACTTTTTCCCCCTGCCCGAGTCGTCTGTGTGTGTGGGTCAGAGGGAAGGGGGGGTCTATGAGGGGAGGGGGAGGCTGGGGGTTATGGGGGGAGGGGGCAGGGGGAGATGGAGGAGGCAGGGGAGGGAAGTTGGGGGGTGAGTGTGGAGGAGGGGGGGGTTAAGGAGGAGGGGATTGCAGGGAGGGGAAGGGGGGAGGGACGGGGCACGGGGGTTGGGGGCAGGGCCCTAGCGGTACATTACCCACCATAGAGAGGCAGCTAGAGCCAGTCCCCGAAACAGCCCCTCCCCCACAGCACAGCTAGGCCGCCCTCCTCTGACTTAGGGGTGGTCCCCACACCCCCGAAGCTGCGTCGGACTCAGAAAATGCCCCCACACTCCCCAAACGGCTGCATAGGAACCACAGACCAGGCGCCAGGCGGACGCAACGTTGCCTGAGTTTGCCGAGAGCCTGAGCCCATTGCTCGGAGAGGCAGGCCGGCCCCAACCGTCACCAGGTTTCCCCCCTGCCCCCCAGCTCTGCTGGTGCCCCTCACTCCCAGCCCTGGCTGGGGCCATTCGCAGAGCCCAACTTCCCCAGGCCCCGGGCGCTCAGCGTTGGTCGGTGGTTTTTTCTGCGCTTCCTGTTGAAAAAAGTCCCCGCAACGCGGAAGTTCCCTGGGGCGAGCTCAGGGAGGGGAGAGACCCCGAGAACCCGCTGGGGGCTGGAGACAGGAGCCAGCATGAGCCGGGGGTCCAGGTCAGGGGCGCGAGGGCAGCAGGAGAACGTCCCCTCCCAGCTCCTCCGGGATCATGAAAACCAGCAGGTGTTTGAGCTCCTGGGCCGGAAATGCACGGTGAGGCATGAGGCCCAGAGGGTGCTAACACCAGGGGCTGGGGGTTGGGAGTGAGGGGCACCGGCAGAGCTGCGGGGGAACCCAGGGCTGCAGGTCGGGAGTTGGGGAGCACCGGCAGAGCTGGGGGTACCCCAGGGCTGGGCTAGCAGGGGGCTGCAGGTCAGGAGTGAGGGGCACCGGCAGAGTTGGGGAGCAGACTAGGACTGGGCTAACAGGGGGCTGCAGGTCGGGAATGAGAGGGACTGGCAGATCTGAGGGTGGGGAGCCCAGGGCTGCAGGTCGGGAGTGGGGGGCACCAGCCGGGCTGGGGACAGGGGAGCACTGGGCTAGCAGGGTCCTGCAGTGGAGCGGGGGGCACCAGCAGAGCTGGGCTAGCAGGGGGCTGCGGGTCAGGAGTGAGGGGCACCTTCATTGCTGCATCCCTCCCCCTCCGCTCAGGAGGAAGTGGGGTGAGCGGTGCTGACGGGGGCTGTGAGGGGCCCGGCGCGGTGACGCTGGGGAGCCCGGAGCCTCAGCCAACATCGGAAACCAAGACAGGAACTGGCAGCCCCGGGGGGCCACGCTTAGGGCCGGACGAGCCCTCCCCCCGTGGCATTCTGTGCGGCTGTTCCCCAGCCGCCCCAGAGCTGGCTGCATCTCAGGCGCGATCTCTCTGTAACTCGGTTGTCTCTGTGCCAGACTCTGGCCACGTCGGTGGCCCAGCTGTACCAGGCCATGCCCCCCAACAGCCAGGTGTGGGGTAAGCAGGGATGCGGGGTCCTGTGCCTGGTCAAGGACAACCCCCGGCGCTCCTACTTCATCCGCCTCTTCGATCTCAAGGTGAGTCCCTGTCCTCCCCCCGGCGGCTCCCCATCCCTTCCCAGCACTGGCGAGAGAACCCAGGAGTCCTGGCTCCCAGCCCCCAACCCCCTGCTCTAACCACCAGACCCCACCCCCCTCCCAGAGGCGGGGAGAGAACCCAGGAATCCAGGCTCCCAGCCCTCCCCGCTCTAACCACTAGTCCCCACTCCCCTCCCAGAGCTGGGGAGAGAACCCAGGAGTCCTGGCTCCCAGCCCCCTGCTCTAACCACTAGCCCCCACACCCCTCCCAGAGTCGGGCAAAGAACCCAGGCGTCCTGGCTCCCAGCGCCCCCTGCTGGCGGGGTGCTAACCGGGGTTCCCCTTTCTCTTGCAGGAGAGGAGGCTCACATGGGAGCTGGAGCTCTCCAGCCAGTTGGTCTATTCTGCCGTCACCCCCTATTTCCACACCTTCCCCGGGGACGTGAGTATCTGCCCCAGAGGGGGCCGGGGGGGTCGGGGGGGGTTGATCAGTGGGGCAGGGCTGCCAGACATAGCCCTGCCCCCGGAGACAACAGTTCAGAGACAGGGGGGTGAAAAGAAGGAGAAAATTGAGGGCTACCAATAAGAAGTGAGGCTGGAAACCCGGATGCCTGGGTTCTCTCCTGGCTCTGGGAGGGGAGTGGGGGCTAGTGGTTAGAGCAGGGGGGCTGGGATCCAGGACTCCTGGGTTCTCTCCCGGCTCTGGGTCCCCCCAGGACCAGCGAGGTGCCTTTTGCTTTCAGGAATGCCAGGCCGGGCTGAACTTTGCGGACGAGGCTGAGGCCCGCGACTTCTATGCACTGGTGGAGGAGAAGGTCCAGAAGCGACAGCAGCGGATGGGTACGTGGAGGGGTAGGGAGCCGGCCAGTGCCCCCTAGAGGGGACAGGCCCCGTGCCCCGTTCCCTGGCCCCCTGAGCCAGCCCATGCCAGGGTCACAGTGCATGTTCTCCTCTTTCCTCAGAGAAACGGCAGCTCCCCCCGCCACCTCCCCCGGTCAATGAAGGTGAGTCCCCCTCTATCCCACTGTCCTTTGCAATGGGGGGGAGGGGCAGGTTGGGGTAGACCCCCCACCAAGCTCTCCCACTGGGGGTGGGGGGGTGGTGACATGGGTCTAACCCCGGCTCTTTTTGCCTCCTTTAGAGCGACGGGCGATGACGCTGCCCCGATCCCCAATGCCCGGGGGAGACATGAATGGTAAGTGCTTTGGAGGTGGGGGGCCTGAAAGGGTTAATTCAGCCCCCCACCCCCCCCCCCCTGCGCCCCCCCAGCGCCCGGCCCTGACTGCCAGGGGAGAGCGCCCCCTGCCTCACTCCCTGCCCCACGGCGTCCCCCAGCGCCCGGCCCCAACTGCCAGGGCAGAGCACCCCCTGCCCAGCCCCCCACCCCGCTCCCCACAGCACAGCGCCCCCCAGCGCCCAGCCCTGACTGCCAGGGGAGAGCACCCCCTGCCCAGCCCCCCACCCTGCTCCCCACAGCCCCATCTCTCTCTCCCGCAGGTCCCAGCAAACAGCCGAATTCCCCCTCCAGCTCCTTGAACCTGGTGACGATGGACATCCAGAACCCGGACATCACCTCGTCCCGGTACCGGGGGCTGCCGGTGCCCACGGCCACTGAAAAGAAGAAGGGCAAGAAAA